TTTTTACCTGTCCTTTGTTGTGTGGAGTTGGTGGGCGTGGTTGAAGCTCTCCCTGCATGCGTATTTTCTATTTGGTTGCAAATTTTGTATGTTCGTGAAATATAGTTTGTGATAATCTAAAACTGTTTGCTTTTGGTGATTCTTAAAACTGATTTGCTGGGCTTGCAGATGGATTTCGTCGAAGTTTACGAGTCTTTGCTAGAACTTTTCCCGCAGGTAAAGTTCGAGGTTTCAGATGTATATGTTTTTTTGTAAGTAAATTTTGTGCCATGGAAAGATGAGATAAGAATAGAGTTATGGAGCAAATAATAGGCAGATAGTTCAAATGCTGAAAACCATTTGGTGTTTCCTTAAAAGTGATTTTCTTTTCACGAAAGGATATAGATTTGTTAAAATGTTTGTTTGGTGACAGATTGATGCTCGAGCTCTTAGAGCCGTTGCTATCGAGCACAACAAGGATCCGAATGCAGCTGTTGAGGCAGTTCTTGAGGAGATAGTCCCTTTCTTTTCCGAAAGATCTGCGCCAAGTAGCCCGTTGAATCAGAGCATAACTATGGTTGAATCCACTGAAGGTAGAAGCGCAATCTTGTTGCAATTGATCTCTTGGAAAATTTATGAAGTCCCGTTTGTTACTTTCTGAGTGTTGGCTATATTGGCTTGCTTGATTGATTGTTTTTCCCTTAATTCTTGCAGCTCTGGGGAATGGCCACTCTATGGCTTTCGAAAATCAACAATTTCTTAACGAACATCAAGAAAGACAGAACGATTCTGCTGAGTTGAGAAAAAATCACGGGATTGACGTGATTATGAGTGCTAATGTGCACTCTCCTAGTGAACCTCTCGTTGTGATAGATTCGAATGCCACTGATACTCTTCAGGTTGATATATCAGAAGGGCACGAAACAGAGGAAAAAAATTCAGGAAATAGTTTCTCTGAAAATAGCCCCAAGATTTCTTCTAACGGAATGCCTCAAGAAAGTGATGCTACTGTGAGACTTTCTGAAAGTGATTTAGAGAAATCTGACGTGGATATGTCGAGTGATACACTCGAGGAAAAATCCACCTCGAGTGCCATGACCCAATCTAGTCAAGCTCAAGTAATGATTGTTGTTGAGGAGATTATTGAAGAAGCTAGAGACAGTCAGGTAAATTGGTAGTATCACTATCTTGCTCTTATTATTTACCAAGATATAATTTGGTAAATTGTTATTACTTTTCTGGGTTCTGTATTTCTCCTTATGAGTTATGATACCTTACCCATAAGCCAAATGCATTGCTGGAAAGAGACAATAAACAATGATTTAAAATATTTAAATTTGAATGAGGATATGTGCTTTTATCGAGCACGGTGGCGATATTTGATCCAAATTTTTAACGGCTTGTTGATTTGTTGATTGATTGATTGATGATATTTAAATGTCTCATATTTATCATTCTCTTAGCCTGTTCTGGTAAATTTTGTGATATTTGGTGCTCAAAAGTGTATCTCAAAACATATATTCTGTGAAAATAAGATTTTTTAGACTGAAAAATACTGTATATTTTGTGTGATTAGTTAAATACCATACGCTCTCATACATAGAATACGCTGCAGAAAATGCTGTTCACAGCGATGGAGTCTGTTATAAGCTTGATGAGGCAAGTCGAGCTCAAAGAGCAAGCAGTTGAGCAAGCAAAAGGAGAATCTTCAGTTGGTGGCAAGGACACAATGGAAAAAGTTGAAGAGCTTAAGCAAATACTGCAACACGCAAAGGAGGCAAATGATATGGTTTATGTTACAACTCCCGAATTTGCGGCATTTCTTTAATGATTCTGTTTCATTTTTAACTGTTGATTTAAACTTGTGCTCGTTAATTTTGACTTATTTACCCCTCACAGCATGCTGGGGAAGTGTATGGTGAAAAGGCCATCTTAGGGACCGAGTTGAGAGAGCTTCAGTCCCGTGTGCTCTCATTGTCGGACAAGAGGGACAAATCTCTTGAAGTTCTTGATGAGGTGATTTTAGAAAATATATATTTTATTTTTTTTCTTTTTTGACTCACTTGAGGTTTGAGGCTACATCTGAAATATTGTATTGTGCTTTGAGACAAAAATGTTGTTCATTTATTACAAATGAAGGGCCTTCTCTTTTTCATTCGGCCTATATTTTTGGCTTTTTTTAGCATTACAAAGAATAGAGAAATATGCAAATATATATTGGTTTATTATGAATTTGTGTGAATAATGTGCCTATTGTAAGGTAAGACGAGTTTTTTAAAAAGCTCGAGCTTATCTCATAAGTTTCCGAGTAGCTTTTCAAATGAGCTCTTAAAATTTTTATTTCAGCCATCTTATCAGCTAATTTTACAAAACACTTTTATCATATAAATTAGCTCTTCAACTATAAGTCATAATCTAGCTATACATCATAATCTATCAGCTATAAGCTCCGAATTCACTTAAAAGCTATAAGCTAGCATATCAGCTAGGTTTACCAAAAAACATAACCTTAGTGTTTATCTCTTTTTTCTCCTTTGGGATTTTCATCAGATGCGAAAAATTTTGGAAGTTCGATTAGCAGCCGTTGAGAACGAAATACAATCCGCTGAACAGGAGAAACTAGAAAAGGAAAACACTGCTCTTAAACTACTTTCTCACCAGGAATTAATTATGGAAAAAGTTGTGCAAGAGTCCAAGATCCTTAAGCAACAGGCAGAAGAAAATGCCAAGGTAGTGAACTATTTTTCTCAATTTCTATCATTTCATGCTAAAATCATTTAACAGGAAAATAAAAATTATAATATTGACAGAAAACAGGTTTTTTCATAATCTACACAAGAAAGTTGTTTAAATCTTTAACTAATAATTATACTTTTTATGTTGTGTTGCAGATGCAAGAATTTCTCGTGGACCGTGGACGTGTTGTCGATATGTTACAGTATGTTGTTACCTTCGAACTTTTTTTTTTGGCATGATACTTGATTTCTATTGTAGCTTATATTTAAGTAAAGCTATGTTTGGTAAAACTAACTTAAGCTAACTGATCTTATAACTTATCAGTAATTTTTTAGCTTAAATTACTTATAGCTTATAGCTTATGACTTATAGTTGATAAGCTAAGCTTATATGATAAAAGTGTTAGGTAAAATTAGCAGATAGGCTGGCTGGAATAAAAAATTCAACTAGCTTATTTGAAAAGCTACCTAAGGAAGTTTATAAATAAGCTCGAGCTTTTTAAAAAAGTTTGTCCTACCAAACGAAGAGGTTTAAGGTTTATTTGAATAAGAGAGCTTATAAGCTAATCAAATAAGCTATAAGCTAGCTTATTTGTATACTAAACATAGCCTAATCGATGAGCCAATGCACATAGGCCGAAATATATACAAAATATGACAATATCCCCCTTATATATAATTCTTGTATGTGTGCCTAGGCTCGCATGCTTCAGGATCTTATGTGGCGAATTTTTTTGTTTTGTCGTTTGACTTTGATTGATTTTAATTTACTCTTAGAGCCGTAAATAAACTAGATATTTATGGTCTTTTTTAAGAGCATCAATATTCATATTACATTCTTTCTTATTCTAAACATGATTTATAAGGCATAAAGTTTTTTCTTTAAACTTTCTCTTTTCTCATCTTTGTTTTAAAACTATGATAAAATTACTAACTTAAATTATAAGTAGATTTAAAAGTTAATTCATTTTTTATTTATTATCAATTTTTTATACATAATATATCAAATTAATCATGATTGACGAGCTTCAATTTGACATTTGTATATACAAATAAATAAATAATTATATTTATCTTTATAATTAAATTAAATTACCTATTAATATTAATTAAAAAAGTAAAATTATTTAATGCAATTTAACTACAAAGTTTACAAAGTTGTTAAATAATATAATTTTTTTTTAAAAAATATTATAATATAAGATGGTAATCCATATTAGTGGTGTGTCTTATTTTAAATATAAATAGTAGTATAGTTATTCCAAAAAGTATTTGTAAAATAAAAAAAAAAATCTTATTATTATTTTTAATTTTACATATAAATTTTAGTAAACACCCATGTAATTATACTAGTTGCATAGAAATGCAAATTGACTCGAAACCTTTTTTTTTTTTTTTTTTCCGGTCTTCCTTTATGCCAGAGGAGAAATAGCCGTGATATGTCAAGACGTGAGGGTTCTAAAAGAGAAATTCGACGAGAATGTTCCCTTGAGCAAATCGCTTTTTTCGAGTCAGACGAGCTTCATTTTAGCTTCTGCCACCAGCTCATCACTGTCGAAAAGCCCGAGCGTGGATCCGGTGGAGCTACTGCCTACGGTAAAAGATGATCTGCTGGGGACTCAAGACGAGCAGGTACCTGAAGAGAAAACCGACCGGGAGCAACTTGTAGATGACGGGTGGGATTTTTTCGAAGAGCGTGAAATAAATGCATGAATTTAAATTTTGGGTTTTTTTTTGCTTTCATTTGATATTTGTTCTTCAGATTTTGCTGGAACTAAGGTGGAGGGTAATTTTTGCAGAATTTTATCTGTGTACAGTTTGGTCATATGACCCAGTTTTTTTCATAAGGCAGGCTGATAATTTGCAAAATTGCAAGAGTTGAGTTTCAACATTCAATGCTTTTTTGTCACCTCATGATATTGGATTAGACATGGCCACGGGTCAACCGGCCTGCCGACACACATCTCTCTCTCCCTCTCTCTCTCTCTCTCCATCTCTCTCCTCTCTCTCGCTCTCTCGTTGACCCGCCGACACACATCTCTCTCTCCCTCTCTCTCTCTCTCTCTCCATCTCTCTCCTCTCTCTCTCTCTCTCTCTCTCAAGCGCGCGCACACACACACACACTACCTGTTAAGGTCTGGCATGATTCTTTTACCAAAAGAGAAGCATACTATTTAATTCAATACTCAAGGAATTGAAAAAGAACAAAAAAAGCTTTATGATTATGTTGATGATGCCAACACAAACTTGTTAATTTACAAAAATGAAGCTGACATTAACATCAACCCATTACATTTTATCTTTTTAAAAAAAAAAAAAGAAAAAAAAAATCAAGATAAGCAAACCAACTACCAGACTAAAAATATATACACTCTCTGTGAAGTCGCTCAAGACGTTGTATCGATGGAGTGACATCTTCGCTTAGGATATACATTTCTTGATACAGATTATGGAACAGATCTTGAAACAGATTGCTAAATAGCTGCTTATTCAACTTCCTCAACATCCTCAATAGCTGGTAATACAGAAAGAAGATCGGATCTAGCGGGTGTTTTTCTCTTTTATATATGGTGCATTGTGAATGTGGAGATTAGGTCAAAGAAGTGAACAAAAATTGAACAACATAGATTTCACTTCTTAAGAATTCTCTAAATTATAATAGAATATGTAAAAGCGAGTTTACAAATTCTAGAAAGATATAATATAGC